GCGCCGCGGTGCAGGCCCGCCCCGACTCCCCCCAGCCCGCCACACACACTCCCGCACACCCCACCCCCACCCCGCCACACTCTAGAGTCCCTCCTCCCACCCAGTCATCTGCATGGCCACCCCTCCGCTCCCCGGAAAACTCTGCAGCCTCGGTGACCCTCCGCCTCTCCCTTCTGTCATCTGCACCGCTCCCCGGATAACGACCTTTTCCCCGCCCCGGCCCTCCAGCCCCTGCAGCCCCCCTCCCTCCAGCACCACCACCGCGGCTCGCCTCCCACCAAAATCGCTGCAGAGACCCCTCCCCTTCCCTGCGCGCCCCCAAATCCAAACGCGTTTTCAGCTTTCGAACCTAATGGCTGCTTGCAAACAATGCTGTCCCCCTTCCGTGGCTGAACCACCCCCTCTCCCCAATTTATCTTGTAAAATAACTTCGTTGTGCAAGGGTCACCTCTGTAAGTCAAGCCCGGTGGAGGGCCGCAGTATAGCCTGGTGACCCCCCCGAGCCTGGGCCAAGGAGGGGGCTGTTCTCCCACCTTCACCTCCACCACACACACCCTCCCGATTTACTGACGCCAAGTGACCGCTCTCCAGTCGATAGGACAGGGGGCGGCAGAAAGGCAGGCGCGTGTGGACGGCTGCTGGGTAAGCAGTTGGCTGTGGGTTGCTAGGCAAAAATAAACATCAGACACACCTCTCATTTCCTTACAACTCGGAGCCCTTCCCCAGCGCGGCCACAGGCAGAGGGACACACCTTCCTCTAAGCTCGCTGCAGCAAGGGAGCGACACCTTTCGTTCCTCTCATCCCCAGAAACAAGTCTCTCTCCCCTTTCCTGCCAAGACACGTGGAAAATCCCCCTGCCTTTTTCACTTGCTATCTACAGCCTCTCTTCCCCTCGCAGACTGAAAAACTGTTTGTCCAACTCACACCGTGCCCTGTCGTCGTGTGTGAGGTGTATGCCTTTGTCCAAAGGTCACAGGTTTTGTCACTTCAGCCTTTGAGGGGGCTGGGGCGGGGAAGAGCAGGCAATTCCTGATGACTGGGTTAAAAGCTATGCTGTGCATTTCCTCCCTGAGACATGCCAGGTTTCTGAAGTTCTCCTGGGGACCTGGATCTTTTATGCTCTTTGCCTTGGGCATCTGCCAGCCAGCCCCTGGATGGACCAAGTTTGCAGGCCTGAACTAGTGCAGATTAAAATCAGAAGAAGGCCACCTCTTGCGGAGTTCCATCATCCCTATTGTTTGCAAATTGTCATAGCAACCTCCCAGAGCGATCACCCTCAGCTTTGTACAGATGTCAAAAAATGGAGTATATCAAAGGTAAAGTGTGACCCCACTCAGAGTCTCCAGGACTCCTACAAGGTGTATTAAAGATAGGGGGCATTGGCAGAGGGAACAGGTGCAAAAATCTTCTTGGGGATCTCCTAATAAAGTAGAACCACACTGAAATAATCAATCTAATAATATGCCTTAATGATGACCTGATTCAACCCCAGAAAGAAATAATCCCCTTTGCTTATCTTCATGGACTATCACGTTCAAATTCACTTGGGGAAACATTTAATGTTCAGAATTAACTAATGAAAAGATGCTACTTAATAGCAGAGAGTAAGTTAGGACCCATTTCCTTACTCCCACTGTGATCCCACTATGCTTTCTAATATACCACCTTGGATTTGTAAGAGCCTCACATCACTTTTCCTGTTTTCTTGTTCAAAACAGTTACTGTCATACCATTTTCCTTTAAAAAAACTTTTTTTAAATTGATTTCAGAGAGGGAGAGGGAGAGAGATAGAAACATCAATGATGAGAAAGAATCATTGACTGGCTGCCTCCTCTACACCCCCAACTGGGATGGAGCCTGCAACTAGGGCACATGCCCTGAATCTAACCATGAACTCCTGGTTCATAGGTCAATGTTCAACCATTGAGCAACACAGGCTAGGCCCATTTTCTTTCTTTTATTTTATTTTTTTTACCACTGATGTTCAAAGGAAAAATATTGAAGCAATAATTTAATTTTAATATAACCTGATGCCCCTTCTCACTTAAATTATTCTTTCAATACTTCAATAGAAGCTAAGTATGCTAGTGCTTTTTCCATGAATTTGAAAAATTCTATAAGAAATTCTATAAGTTTGTGAATTATATTACTCTGTACATTAAACATTGTTGGGTTTGATCAAGCAATTGAATCAATACCCCTCCCCCAGGAACTGGCTTTTCATGTCATTTCACTATGGACATTCCCTTTGCTGAGACCACATTTCACTTGTGGTGACCACATTCCATTATCTCCCCTCATGGTGTGCATAAAGAAGTCTCCGCCCAGAAAAAAAGTCCGACAAAAGTCCTTTAAAAGCTGCTGACTCCCATCACCGGGGCCTGGAGCCATCCAGGCTCAGCCACCAGGTGGGCGGATGATGGAATAAATTCATAATCCTTCATCATTCTGGCCTCGTGCGTTCCTCCTTCGGTGACCTAACAAACATGAGGACGAGGAGCACTGGGACACACATTTATGAAATTTTTTCTAGTATATTTGTTTTAAGACATGATAAGTACAATTTCCATTTTATATTTATATTTTGGTTTCTGACCCTAAAGAAAATTCGCAATTAGTCTAACTTTTGACTATTTTAATTATAAATGATACACCTCTCAAGATTAAGTTCTTAGTGACTAAATATTAGTATTTACAATTATTTGGATTTCTCTCATTCTGAGAAATATTGATGACCTCAACCAAAATTAATGTCAAATAAAAAGATGTACAAATGTACTCCCTGAGCTTCCAAGGAGAATGAGCTGGGTAAATTCAAAGAATTATTACCCTCAAACTTTATTATTCTAATGCATTATTATTCATTTATACTGTACATTCACCTCTTTATAAAACCCTCCCACAAATATTATTATGGGTAATCTTTTCAACACATAACCGGACCAGAATTATATCGATGTTAAATAGTAGCCTCTTCAGGTGCCTCATTCAGTTAGTAAGCATCTGCTCTTCAGTTCTTCCTATTATAAAAACTCCATCTGTGTCCTAACTGGTTTGGCTCAGTGGATAGAGCGTCGGCCTGCAGACTGAAGGGTCCCAGGTTCGATTCCCATCAAGGGCATGTACCTTGGTTGCAGGCACATCTCCAGTGTGAGGTGTGCAAGAGGCAGCTGATTGATGTTTCTAACTCTCTATCCCTCTCCCTTCCTCTCTGTAAAATATCAATAAAATATATTTAAAAATATTTTTAAAAGAAAACAAAACTCCATCTGAAAATCCAGATTCAGATAACAAGTAGGTAGGTAGGCAGGATGTGGTAGAACTGAAGATAAAGAAACTTCAGGGAACTCAGAAGGGAGCCTTATGGAAGGAAGTTGATTTTTCACTGGGAAAAGTACTGATAACAGAAAAATCAGAAGTGAACACGAAAGTTGCTGGTTTCAAAATACGTTCAGTGATTTCATTTCTTTATCCCAGAAACATTTACAAAGAATTTATTATATTCTAGGCCTAGGGGATATGATGAATCATCAGATGTAGTGGGCTAGGTTTCAGTCTGGCAATCCATTAGGACTTCATTCTTCAATTAAGCAATAAACAGTAAGCACCTCACATATTTTTGAAATTATTAGTACTGGGGCTACACAGTTAAATGAGTAATCCCTGGTTCTGGTCATTGTTATTAAGAAGTTCACAATCCAGTAAAGAAGACAAGATATTTCATGACGTGATGGGGCAGAAATCAAGGCATATAAAAGGCACAATGGTGGCACACAAGAGGGAGTGATGAGCTCTACTTAAGTGGTGCCTGACATCAAAGGGACTGTGGTTTTAAAAATGCCTGAGTATTTGCCAGTCAGATGAGCCAGCCTAGGACCTTCTAGGCAGAATAAGTTGAGCAGAGGCACCAAGGTATAAGAAAGCACAGTGTATTCAGGAAATATAAGAAATTCAGAATCCAGGAAACTTGAAGTGCATGGGGGGAGGGGGGAAGAGAGGTGTGGTACTTCTATCTTTACAAGGTCAGGCTTACAGATGAT